ATTTTGTGCCGCCACAAGATATGATCTCGTATGCATGATGTTATACAGCTAAAAATAAGGTTTTCTCGAAAATTTAACCAAGGTACGACGGGGTCAATCATTGTTCTGGAAACGCCAGAGGGCGGGTCGCATTGACCCCTACCTATCAGTACACGTTATGAAAAATGACGAATCAGGACGAAGGTTATTGCTCGCCCTGATTCTCCGTTTTCATAACGCGGATTGATGGATAGGGGATCGTTGCCCCCCCCCCCTTGCCTCGGGATTTCCAATCTAAAAGAAATGGGGGAACAAAAAAGTTTACAACGGCGAATCAAGCTGAGGAGCCTCGCCCTGCTCCCTTGAGTTGGTCGATGCTCCTCCCCCCCTCCCCCCTAAGGTTTCTAAAGAAGTGGAAACAAAGCTCAGCAAATAAAAGCGGTGAATTCGTCCCTACGAGATTTCGCGATTGGTGCTAGTTTGTAAGCTAACAGGTCAATAGTTGACCCCATTATGCCAGGTCAAAGGTGAAAATTTCCAGAAATATAAATTTTTCGCTTTACATCACTATACATACGAGACCACGACTTTCTGGAACACAAAACATACGTGTTTCTTGTTCAAGCTGTGGTACGGTGATGTATATTTGTATGTGTTTTGAGCATATTTCTATGGTATATGGCGTCGTTAACGTTACAATGTCGGCCCGTCGCGCGCGTTCCGTGGCATCGTTGGCTGGAGCGCACCGCCCCCGCCGGCCGTAGATCGCCACGCAGCACTCCTCAAAAGCGCCGCCGCTCCAAAAACCGCCAGAGGATGTGGATGAAAAGTTTCATGTGTCTTCCCCGCCCTGCGATCATTGCCAATCAGCACTTTGGCCAATGAGGTCATGACCTTGGAAACCACTACCGGTATCACTCTACACTTTTATTGTGGCGTTGCAGTGAACGCAAGTGAAGTAGGGTCATATATCTGGACACGAACCTCATCAGCATGGGCCTCAACCTAAGCGGTCGGATCCCCTGCGTTGCAATGATCGTTCAAACCTAGAGAAGCACCTTAAACAGGAACGAAACTGGAACGTAGCAACAAAATGGTAGGGAAAAAGAAGAATAGGACGACATCGAAGGACTTCACGCGGGCAACCACCGACAGTTACCCCGACATGGAGGAGGCGTCGATAGAATTTAGCTGGAGTTGAATCCTATAGTGGTCGCATTTAGCTATTGTGGTAAGCAGTCCGGTATTTTTCACTGACTGGTGAAGGCAGGTGCCTATTTTCCCCATTAAAAGCAACGGAGCTGAAGACAGGCAAGACCATTATTCTAAACAATGAAGCCAGCGTTAGAATTTGATATTGCGAATCAACTACTAGGACTTCCCGGAAAAAATGAACGAGTTTTCTCCTGCGGTAACTGTCCTTATAGGAAACTGAAACACGACCCACGTGATTTGCTATTTTGTTTCATATCTAGAATCATTCTGGAAAGACCATGCTACCGTGCACAGAAGACAAAAATGCGGGTTTTAAAACACGTCAACGGCTTTAAGGTTTAGGCAACGGCTTAGAAAGCGAAAAACACCGTCAATAAACTCAAGTCAGCGTCATGTGGTGAAGTGGATCGCAAAGGGCAGTCTTTAAACCTGACTGGTAAAATAAGCACAAGAAAACGATTCAAAAGAGCCCCGATCGGAATGCGAAAGAAAGAAGGGTCTTGCCACGTTACCCCTAAAATTCATCCGTGGGCACGGGCAAGATCAGGCTGTAGCATGTGTATCGCATTGACAGTGATAGGACGAGGGTTCATTCCGTTCCCACGCAATGTGAGCTCACAGCAAAAGCTGTCACTAACCGAATATAACGTGCAAATGTGCTACAGTGCCTACAGTGCAAGTGCACTTTCAGTTAGAAGGTAGAGTCAACGGCCAAAACTTTCATGTTTTGCCTGCCGGGGCTTGAGATGAGGTTCACGAAGCACCACCGCATAGTGAGAAGTGAAGCGCACCGCCCGGTGCGCTGCCATAAAGGGACGGATCAATAGTCGAGGCATGATTGGCCCACTCTGGATCAACAGCCGAGGCGTCATTGGCCCGACCTGGATTCAGGGCGGTCAAGGGGGTTGTAGTGACGAGGGGCTGAGTGGATTTGAACACAAAGTCTACGGTGAAGACGCGGCACGCCGGTAACTTCAGCAAAATTATCTGACGGCGCATACGACGATGGAGAAGAGATAGTGCCTCAGAGCGTGGTTTGACCAAGATTAAGTTCTTTGGAGGAGCCAAACATTCATATGAGGGCTAAACAAAACACATGAAGGCCCGGGCATTCCCTCGATTTGGGTCCGACATAGTGTTTACTGTGGAGGCGTTTGAAGTCGCAAATATACCCATGCAGTCTGAAAACCATTGTGCACCTAAGCCACGAGTGTTTAAAAGTGTAGCAGTAAAAAGTGATGAAACATGACCAGAACCCAAACCTTAAAGTATGAAGAGCGAGGTGCGCGAATGGCTGTGAAGACCAAAAAGCCAAAGACGTGCCATACCGTCATTTAAGCAGGAAAGAATCGGGTGGTGTCTGGAACAACGTGGTGGGGCAGGGGGGTGGCAATGGGGGCAAAAAGAGCACGTGCTGCACTGTCCGAGCAAAGGAATACATGGAGGGCGCAGAGGTCAGATACAAAATATCATCGAATGACCTTCGCATTGATGCACAATTCGTGTTACCAAACAAGTTATCTGAAATATGAGTGACTTAAATCCGTCCGCTTTTCCTGGAACGCTCTTTATAATTAGCCACTTGGCACAAATATTGAGAAGTTTTTGCTCACAAATTAAAGCAAGCTTGGAACATAAAAGCGCTCCTAACAAAAACCACTCGATAACGGTAGGTTCTCTGAAGCTAAAGCTCTTCACCCTCTCTGCTGTTTGAATCTATAATCGTTTCATAATGAAACACGCAGACGGCTGCATCTTTTGATTGATCTACTGAAAGGAATGCGCAGTACTTAGATCAATTCCTCATGAAAAGAAACGTCGAATTCAGGAGGCATTAAAAGGGAAGTAAGATCACCTCCTTAGAATAATTGCGTGCATGATATTCATTAAGTAAGTTGCATTTTTGATGAATTTTCAGTAAGGGACCTTGATCACAGAGTCAAACAGTTTAAATGTGAGGCAAACACCAGATGCTAGCCAGCGTGAACAGAGCTTATTTCCCAGCTTACATGTGATCAGATGGCACACATTTCCCATGATTTGACGGGACAAAACTACAATTAATAACAAGAAATAAAATGCACTAGCTTTGTACAGATAAAGACTACATTATTCTGCAGGATGAAATATTTCTATGTGGTATTGGTTTCAGTTTGCGTGTGTGAATTGATTCAGAAATTTTACAATGGGGTGGTCTGATTTACGTTGACTAGCATTTGGTATTCACCTCATATTTGAGTTTTTCATCTGTGAGCAGGGTCCGTGGCCAAAATTCATCAAACAAACCTGATTTGACAAATATCGCGCATATTTGTCAAATCATCATTGCAAGGTCATTTTAATTCCCTTTCAATACTCATCTTTTAATACTTACGTTGCACAGGCACTGCACAGTGCATCAAGGTATATGCACAATAATTAAAGTACTTCGATATGCCGGTGCCTTTCAAAAATATACGCCCTCAATCATTTCTAGGTGTACCAGCAGTAGTATTACAACCAGAACACAACGGATGTATAACACGTAATAAGGCCCGGCGGTGGCAAGAAAGTTTTGGAACATCGCGACGCAACACACCAATGTAACTATGATGCCTGTTAAAAACCATGAACGTTTAAGGTGGGTGGCAATGCTGGGTAATCTCGTAACTGAAAGCCAATTTCATTTACTTGTCTGCGGGTCTGTATCACACATCGGCTTAGATTGCCGTAAACAAATAATGGTTAGCCTGACTTCGACGCAGCTACGTTCGCTCAGTTTTTCGCTCGTCTCCCGGTTTGTAATGGTTAACTGTAGAAACTGTAGAAATTCGCGTATATTCATGATCCAGCTGTCGCGGGGTGCTTTCCATCGAAAGTGATATCTTGCACCATGGGAATTATGAAAGCGCTCGGCCGGGGTCGACGGGACTGGTGGTTTAGATCGGTTGCTATCTGGCGCAGACAGTTACACTGCAGCACACGGTCCTGTAACTCCGCTCCCAAGGTCCAGTTCAGATGTATTCTCTCCAAACTCCTCCAGAAATGAAGAACATATATTAAAATTTAAATCTCTTCCTGATGTGTAGATAATAGACCGTTACACTGATACCACCGATTTGCAGAACCAGATTTTACAGAAGTAAAATACACGCATTTGAGGTAATGCCCACTCACCATGTGTGGGAATTGCAGGGGCATTCCATGGGCGTGTTTTTTTTTTATTTCACCGGGCTGCTTGCACTTGACTGCAAGCATACGGTTGTCAGCAGAGCTGCACCATTCCGAGGAGAGTGGGTGCGTTCTCCGTGCCGCGGCCTGTCATCTGCCACGATGTGCCACTGGTGTATGACTACCGTTACAGAGCACAAATGTGTGCCATGGACAAGCCACCGTCGTTATGTCGCAGTTTGTGATTTGTGATTGGTTATTTGTGCGCTTTCATGCTGCACAAATAACAAAATAGTGAAGAAAAAAAATGATGGAGCGGCCCAGACTGCGCGTGTTGTTGACGACCTCTGCTCTACATCTCCTTTGACCTACATACCTGTCACTTTATTCATCAGCTACTGAGTGACCTTGACCTTGGGTGTTGACTTTTTCTAAATGCACCACCAAGATATCGAAGATCGCACGTGTTGTTGAATGCTGCATTGCATTAGTCATATGTGCTGGGAGACCGGGCATCGTCGCGCTTACCGGGTGAAACGTGGAACCAGGAGCACAAAAGCTCCTGTTGAATGGACAGCCGCAGGCGATTTCCTAAACCCGATCGTCGGACCGTTCCTTCTTTCGATGACAGTTTTTTTTCGCCTGTCGTATTCCAGGAGCTCAACCTCGAGAACCTGCCAGACACGTCTTTCTCCTGCGAGGGTAAAGTGGTGGGAGGCTACTACGCCGACATCGAAACCAAGTGCCAAATGTTCCACGTTTGCACGCTGGGACAGAAAGGTGAGTGGTCGGGCAGCCGCCGCAGCCCGGTGCGACGCCCCAGCCGGCTTTATAGGTGCCACGGCCAGCGTGGGAACGCGTCTCATATCGTGAGTGGCCGGCCGGATATGCTGCCAGCCTGGCATCGCCATGTGAGACGTGCCGCTGGTGCAACCTCGGAGATAGACTGAATTTAACTTATGTAATTCCCAGTGGATTGTTTATGCGGCGCGCGATTTCTTTTAGGGGAATGTAATTTTTTATATACTAGGATGCCTATATACAAGTATATGGCTAGTGTGAATATGTGCGTGACCGGAAGCGTAGTCTTCGAGGGCCATGACTAGCTCTGGAGCTGGTGGGGGGCCTGGGCACGACGGCCCAGTCCTCTTTTGGTCGGTTAAAGTACTCGAAATGGTTCTAAAAGAGTCTAAATGGACCCCCGGGGTAGCAAATAGAGTCTCAAGTTAAAACGGCTTCTCTAAATCTTTTCTGTGCCGACCCTAAATCTTCGAGCATCCAACTACAGCTTAACTTCTTGGTTGTTCCCTTGCTGGAGTTTTCGGATAAGTGTATCGTAATATGCCGAGTCTTTACATGGTCTGGCAAAATAATATGACGGCAAATTGATGATAGCTGTAGCGTGCTCTCGAGTTTTCCAGTTTGGTTCCGGTTTGGGATCATTAAGTCAAAGTGGGAGGCCACCGTCCAAAGTCAGCACGGAAAAGCTGCAAGATTGCTCCACATCCTGTAAGTAAGCTGTTAAGAGCATCTGCGAAGAATATTCTGCACACAGATAAGACGGTAGTTAAAGTCTTATTTCTCGGAAAAAACAATGCATATATATATATATATATATATATATATATATATATATATCCTACACCCATGTTATAAAAAGGACCCGAACCAGGAGAGTCCGCTCTTATGTTCAGCAAACGTCTTGTCCCAGTCTTTGCAGTCCTCCATGTTGAAAATGACATAAATGAAAACCATTGCGATGTGAAGACTGTAGGACTTGGTACATAGAGATATGCTAACATAATCGAGGGGAAATGTTAGTTGTTCTTGCACGTATTTTAAGTACAATATCTGACACGCGCTCAAGTGGGGATCAAATTGACCTTCCTCCGAGAGCTTTTTTTTGCTGAATGATTTCTGAACGGTGTGGCGAATGCGCGCCAAACTTTGCATAGCTGTAGAAATGGAGTGGCGAGTCTTGTGAAGCAGAATATTAGATATACCTCGTAAGATCGCTGACCTATGGCGGGTCAAAGTCAAACCATGGTTGTCAGCGAAAAATATGTTTAGGGGATCTTTGAATGCGATGCAACAACGGAGTGTTAGACAAAGTCACACATATCTGAGGTTGTTTCTAGGGCACTAAACCAATTGAATTTTGAATAGCAATCAGTCCCATTGACCTAGTGTCAAGTGTGAAGGTCAGAAGGTCAAAACAAACGCGCTTGTTTACTCGAAAGCTTGGTTTTGCAGAGTAGTTTCTGGTGCTCATTCCGAATTTATTGATAAGAGGGACCGCAACAGACGTGTTGCATTGACTTCCTAAGGGCTAGAGTAGGTCACTGATCTATAATAACCCAGGTCAACATATTGATTTTAGGAACATATGGCTTGGCGTAATCCTTGACACTTATTCGAATGGGGAAATAGGGGCAGTTTGTTGGGTATTTGGTCGCCTTGACTTTAAAGAGGTCAAAAAGGTCACTGACCTCATTAAGATTTTCCTTAGAACAGGTATCTAGCGTCACGGCGATTGCATGAAGAGTTCTGGGGGCACTTGAAACACCAATCTGGAGTTTGGCTTAGTTTGACCTTATTTGACCCCAACGTCACGACAAAGGAGCTCCAAATTTTGACGCCAGTGAATTCATCTTCAGATTAATTTGCCCTGTGAATTTGGTGTCTCCAGCCATCTTAGTTGTTGAGAGCTTAGGGAGTAAAATTGACCCCCACTGGAGCGAAAGGCATTCAGCCGGCCACCCGGGCGTAGGTTATGTCGCGATTATGACGGTTATCTTATTTATGGATGTGGAGTAAATTTGCAGCTTTTCCGTCCTGACTTTGGATGATGGCTTTTCACGGCGGTGAAAAGGGTTTGTTTTGTCACATATGAAATCTGGAACAGCCTTAACTATTACCTGGCGCCGAACTATCATAAACCAGTTCACTCGACCTCTTACCCCAAAGCAGCTGTTCCTCTCAGCAGCAGGCAGCCCACATGAATCCTTGACCCGTGTCGATTAAAGGTTGTCCGTTGACCTCTCAAGGTACAGTTCGGGTATCAACAAACAACGAGCCTGCTAAATCGTCAGGCCTTTTTAACGTTACTATCAAGGACGCCCTCCATGATAAATCTTGGAGGGGCCATACAGCGTCTTTAAGGGAGTTTTCCACATTTGAATGGGATTTTGAACTGAAACAGCCATCTTGAAGGTCATTCTGTGCAGTTTACAGTCCTCCTCTTTTTAAGACTCAACACGTTCTAGTTTCTGAGGTGCACACCTGCGAGGGTGTGTCGACTTTTTTGTGCAGACTACTTTAAGGCCACCTAGGCGCCCGGTCATGCGGCGTTCAAGGTTAAGAAAATATATTTGTCGAGTCGTTCATGTCTGGCGTGCATGAGGACGACCTCCGGATAGAACGGCCGTCAGTGGACAATCTATCAATGTTTTGCAAGCTATCGAGATTCTAACACGAATTACGTTTTATGTTACATATACAAAAAAGCTACCTATTCTTCCTAGCTGTTACGGAAAGATTTGTAATCGAATAGGTTAAGAATGAGAGCTATAACCGAGTATGTGAATACAAGTAAGCACCTTACATGACGGGTAGATACTCAAGAGCACCACGAGGAAGAGCCAAAACACAAGCGCCTAACGATATTTGGTTCAGTTCACATCCAGCACCGTCGCGGCCACCTCTCGGTAGATTGAAGGACTACAAATGAGTGCTGCTATACGAACGTCTCTTGACGCAATGGAGCGATGACGTAATGAGAGGCATTTGCACTAAATAAAGGAAATGCGTTGTCTAGAACAGGCTTTTCACTTAAATATATACCAATAATTATGAGGGAACTTCAGGGGTGTATTTGGGAGGGGCTTCAGCCCTCCCCCAAGTTGACTTTATTCCTATCTCCAACTTTGAGAGAAGAGTTGGCCAAAATTTTGGGAAAACCCGCTTTGTTGGCGAATTTTCGGGAAAGATTTTAAAAAAATTGCGCTTCAGCCCCTCCCCTCCCAACTAACCTTGCAAAACTACGCCGCTGGTGAGCTTATTTCATCGTATCTGGTGCTTGCTTTGATAGCTTCAAATGCAGAACATTTCGTTTAAAGAAGCTGACGATTAGCTACGTCCTTCAAGCCGGTGAGCTCCTCATTATATAGACACAACAGCGGCAGCCTACAGCCTTGCACTGAACCCAAATCACAGCTGCATTAGTTTAACAACTGACGATGGCCACGTTTTTTCAAGCCAGTCACCTTCCCGCGGCGTGACCACAGCGACTGCAGCCCACAGCCTCGCACGGAACCCAATCCATTACCGCGTGGAGGGCGATCAAGCATCTGTCTCAAATGGCCCAACGCTTTAATACAGTTCCCTATTAACCGGTCACCAAAAATAAATAAAAATAACCAAAATGGACACTTTCACTAGATTGGGTGAATCACAACCGAACTGAACACTTCGCAACGATAAGATTATTGCCACGAATAGAAATGTTTGCCACCACCGGTTTACCGAAGTTTTAACCGTAGAGCCTACCTAAATCACCAAATGCGCGAAATAAATGTTTAAAAAGAATCATTTCCGTCAGACTGGCTTACATTCCATTCTGTAGTTGAAACAAATCACCAAAATATTGTGGGAAATCAAGAACTTGTACCAAAATCTAGGATATTTTGCCACCAGCAAAAAACGACCATATTTGAACCCAACCTGGCATCAACTTGGTAATATTTTAAGACGTAGACGCCATTATTCACCTTGGCTAGGCAATCTTACGAATAATGTTGGATACATCCAAAACAAAAAATCAAAGACAAATATTTTACGTAACGCAACATGTCCCGTTTTGCCTTTTCAAGACGGCAGCTTCGCTGTTCAGCTCGTGAGCACTTGTTTCTCACCTCTTGAAACTCGTTGCGGTGTAGATAAAGGCACATAGTGAACAATTATAGCTTTGTTGGCCTTGCAGGTGAGACCCAGGACATCAAGTTCCTGTGCCTGCAAGGTACCGTGTTCGATCAGGAGACCCGAGTGTGTGAGCGGTCTGAGGAGGTGACCTGCAAGGACGCAGAGGAGTATTACGACCTCAACAAGGAGCTATATCAGACCAACAACAAAGCCCACCGGTGAGTGCACCCGAATCGTGTTGCTACCTGAAAAGATATGTGTGGCAAAGCATGGTTTGGTGGTTTGACCACTTTGTCAGATCAAACTTGGTCCGGTCAATTTATGGTAGCACAGTAGGCTATACATCAAGCGGATTGGGTTTGCTGAAAAGTATTCGTGTTATTATTTTGACTTGAACGAACAGAAAAATTTGTTTTAAAAAGTTATTTCTTAGAAAGCTGGAATGCTTCTACTTCCACGCTTTTCCTTTCACCGCAGCGTCATGATGAAGAAATGTTGGCGCTTTTAAAGGCTCAAAAAAACTCCCGCGCGCTCACTTCCGGTAGGACACACCTGCATGTTCTGCATAATTATATCATAAGAGAGAGAGAGAGAGAGATAGAGAGAGAGAGAGAGAGAGAGAGAGAGTAGAGAGAGAGAAGAGAGAGAGAAGAGAGAGAAGAGAGATAGAAGAGAGAGAGAGAGAGAAGAAGAGAGAGAGAGAAGAGAGAGAGAGAGAGAGAGAGGATAGAGAGAGAGAGAAGAGAGAGAGGAGAGAGAGAGAGAAGAGAAGAGAGAGAGAAGAGAGGAGAGAGAGAGAGAGAGAGGAAGAGAGAGAGAGAAGAGGAAGAGAGAGAGAGAGAGAGAGAGAGAGAGAGAGAGAGAGAGAGAGAGAGAGAGAAGAGAGAGAGAGAGAGAGAGAGAGAGAGAGGAGAGAGAGAGAAGAGAGAGAGAGAGAGAGAGAGAGAGAGAGAGAGCGAGAGAGAGAGAGAGAGAGAGAAGAGAGAGAGAGAGAGAGAGAGAGAGAGAGAGAGAGAGGAGAGAGAGAGAGAGAGAGAGAGAGAGAGAAGAGGAGGAGAGGAAGAGAGAGAGAAGAGGAGAGAGAGAGAGAGAGAGAGAGAGAGGAGAGCAAGCCTCTGGAGGAACAGCAAACAGCGAATAACGAAACGTATGGAGGGAAAATGCCACAAAATAGCTCACCCCTTCCGAACTCAAACGTACGATGCATCGTGTAGTCCGTCGCGCTGCCCCCATGTACAAAACAACCATTATGGTATATGTCTGGGTGACGCGGACACGTCAATGGACACCACCAGTCGGTAGGTAGCTCCGCTGAAGCCTTCTTGTCAAGTCGCGTGGTGGGTGACGCAGACACGTCAGTGGACACCGCCAGTCGGTGGGTAGTTCCGCTGAAGCCTTCTTGTCAAGTCACGTGATGGGTGAACGTTGCGAGCGCAGCTTGACGCCTGGATGAATTCGTTGCATCTTCGTTCGGGCGCTCTCTGAGTGCCAAGTTGTTAGTGGTGGTGCCTTGTTCTCACTCAAAGTGATAGGTGCGTGTATTAAGCACGTGAATGCTAAGACTGACAAAATTAAGCAGAGTAGGATGCTGCTATCGCCCACGCCTGACATCAAATCATACGAATTTTGGCCTTAAGCACGTTATAACCCCCCCGCCCTTCCCCGCCCCATGTTCAAAATGATGGGACTTGCACTGGTTTCGTCACACGCGTGTCATATGTAACGCTCCGTTTGCACGCGCACGCCTGTGTGTCCGACAGCGAGCCAACAGAGAACGTGACTGACTCGGAGGGCGAGGCGTCCGTGGCCAGCGTACTGCTCAGGCTCGACTCGAGCTCCAGCTCGCTCGGCTTCCCGGCGGCCGTCTACACGGACGACAACGGCACCGGCGCGTTCGCCGACGGCGGCCGCACGCGGCGGCCGACGCGCACGCGATCCGACGTGCCGCTGTTCGGGCCACGGCGCAGTGAGAGCCGGCCGCCGCCGCCGCCGCCGCCCGCCAGCGAGCAGGCCTTCGGGTGAGCGCGCTCACTCGGCTCAGGCTGCGTCCACAGCGCCCGCATTGGCTCATGGTACCGCAGACGTCTGACCTTGCCCCGTAGCTCACGAATGCTAGCCGACACGGCTGAGCGCAAGTGGTTAGTCACGGTGCTCGACTGGTGAGGTCCAGTTTTGCAGCAGTTTGCAGGATCTGCATTGTCTTTACGGGGTCCGTTGTTTGGGTTGCTCGGCAGTAATCGTGCGACGTTATTTGTGTGCAGTTGTTGGCCAGAACACTGAGCTATGCTCCGTTAGTTACTGTCTTTTCCAGCTGCTAGGGTCTTCTCAAAGTGGTGGAGGGGGGGGGGGGGCAGGGCAGATCTCAGCGAGAATCCATGATAAGAAGCAGAAAAAACACGTACCTATGACGCTTAAGTAAAACAGACAAGTCAAAAACAGGTGAATTGGAAAAACCCCTTAGGTTGTTCCTATAGTTGATTATATTGGCTGACAGTTTGGGACTTCCGTGGGCTAAACATTTGTAGTGCATACACTAATTTAAGTAACTGATACGTACGTTTATGCCATTGAGTCCAAGTCCTGCTCTGCGACGGATGAACGACGCTAGGTCCGACCTAGGTTGGACGAGCCCCGACTAAATCGTGGCTTTGCTGATCCCAGCCATGCGCCGCCCTCGCACCAGACTTCTCTGAGCTGCCCAGTGCCGGGCCGCGTTAATCGCGCCCCAGTTCGTCCGGGGACGGGCGCTGAGCTGCGCAGCCAGCTCAGCAGCGTCGCTCACCGTCCACAGCCGGTTCCGGCAAACGCGGCTGTTCACGGGCCCGTCGTGGCCGACGCCGACATCGACGCGTCGGCCGCGGCCGCCGGCCACCGTCCCGCTGATTCCCAGCTCAGCTGATCTCGACCGGCCGCGGCTGGTCGTCACCAACGGCAAGCCGTTCGTGCCCAAGCTAAGCGCGCCCGACCCCGCGCCGGCGCTCCACCAGGAGGTCAGTGCTGCTCTCCGCCCACCTCACCGCCATCTGGCGGCCGCGTCTCAAATGAAGCGGTCATGACGATTATGTCCTCTTGTCCCTATTTGTTCTCACATTTTGTCCGATAGTAATGACATTCAATTTGCCCGGGTGGGTCTTACGAATTTCTGCAGTTCATTCGCTCCCAGCCAACCCGATAACGACAGTGTACTGCAGCTTGCGAATGCCTTTCGCGACGGCGAGTAGGAAGTGGAGGTGATGTTGGGAAATTATTGGCTGTATCTTGCACCTATTCTGTGTTTTAAACAAAATGACCAGAATGTGATGTGATCCTTGTACATTGTATGCATGCCGCTCAGTCGCATGCTCCTTTTTTCTTCTATGCGCATATGTAAAGAAAAATCGTTGTCGAGCAATATGTCGACTTTGCATTGTCTTTGGGGCCAGGTCTGAAACATGCATTCATCAGTTTTAGTTCGAGAAAACGGTGTAAAAGTGGCATTGGCTATGAGCTTCGTAATTGTTTGTCGCAGATTGCTGTGACAGATGTGCTACTAATGATGCAGCTATGCCAATGTCTGATTTAGAATAATTTGTAAAACAACATTGGTGCTAAAGAAAGAATTTTCTAAAGAAAGAAAAGAAAAGAAAAAAGAATTAAAAAAGTATTTTCGGATTGGCTCACACGTACTACGCATCATGAAGGAGTGTAGCGATCAGTTACTGTCTATGATAACCGCAGGCACCGTACCCTGACCTTAAGACAAGTGCCTTGAGAGAGAATGCTCCGCATTGGAAGATATTGAGGCAAGCATCTGATGTGGTGAATAAGCTTACTTGTAGCTCTAGGTGTACTTTTAAGAGCAAAAGGCTGTTCCATGCAACATAATTTCGGTATTTAGTAAATATGCTCCTCAATGCTGTAGACAACGTAATTTTACTACGTAGTAAATATGTTCATCAATACGTCATCTTTTTATTGCGTCATGGAACGTTTGGATGAAGTCAGGGCTGTCAAACTGGCTGCGTGGAAATGCCACACTAGCGAGCGGTCCGACTCATTTAAGCATTTGAACTCCTCAGGGTGTGTGGTGGTATGGGGTGCGGCGTTCAGAGAACCCAAGTATCGTATTGTGCACGTGTTTAGCCCTCCCTCGTGGTATTTTTGTATATTAACCCGTCATTTCATGTTGTTTACCTGCAATCACATGCTCGGTTATGACCCCATCCTTAACTAATTCTATTACATGTCTTGTTTCCGTAATAACTAGCATCGCCGTCCAACTTCCTGCATTATGTGCCACAAAATGTGATCCAAAGCGTTTGTTTGAAACTTGCACTGAATGTAAAACATTGCTTGACGGCCAATTCGGTGGTCCGTCGGTTCTTGAACAAGTGTGTTGGTTCCAGAATTTGGGCTCTCGTACGCCAGGCACGAATGATTCTATGAGTATGCCTCTCTTGGCTTTGAACGTCTCATGGCCAAGGAGGCGGCAGTATTTGATTGACGTTTGTATGGTGAAAGGGTGCCTGGGCGACTTTGGAGTAGCCTGCAGAACATTGCGGGTGTAAGTGTCAGTGTCAGTGTCTTCGGTCGTAATGTCATGGATACAACTATAATGAAAGCGTTTCTACCGCATCCCTGTCTGTCGTGATACTTCTGTTAAGGCTGACCATTTTTATAATTATAAAGTATATAAAAAGACTGCCGTCAAAAACAGAAATTTCAAATGAAGGATTCCAGATGCTATTTCACCACTTTTGATACGGTCGACAAAAGCTGTTTTTGTGGGCCCTTGAGACATTTATTGAACCCCTGTAGAAGGTTGCGACGCAAAAACCTTTCTCAATTTTCCATTCAATTGGCATCAGAATCTAATCATAATTTGTTTCCAACTACATGTTGTTAATTCAACGCCCGCTGTGAGGTGTATCAGATGCTTCGGCAGTCTCGTCAGCGCTCACGATTTATGTCGCAAATGCAACGGCATTCGGTAAGGCCGGTTTAAAGCGGGTTTCCGGTGGTTACCATCTTATGTCTGGGGACCGAACAGTTCATCCAAATCGCCGATTCAAGCCTTAGCCGTGACCCGGGAGCGTCCCAACTTCCGCTTAGGAATGTGCAGCGTATGTGTGCATGTGCTTACCGCCGCCTTTTCGCATAGCGCGATGCGTCGCGCCGCAACTATTCCCGATCTACCACGCCAGCTGGCCCTGATAACTCTTGCAGATTGCAGTGTACCCCTCTCCCAGTTTCGAACTTGACACTTGTTGCGAACGCTTGGTACGGCTGAGCTCAGTATCCCGCCAATAAATGGCAAGCACCCAGTGGCAGTGCGCGCACATGCCGCTTTCGAGTCGACCTACATTTGTCACCCACCCTTGGTGTCAATGTTCCTCACCTCATGTGTCGGTAACCCAGCAGTTGATGTTGGATCTGCACATGATGATTTGTGCAGGAGAGTTTCCCGTCTCTAACTCTGCCGGACACCAACTTTACTTGCGAATCGAAGGTCAGCGGAGGTCACTACGCCGACCCAGAGACCAACTGCAAAATGTTCCATATCTGCGTCATGGGCCCAGACGGCACGTGAGTGATACACGCACGCATACAGTCTCACGTGCACATACGCAGGCACGCGCAAACGCTCTTTCAGCGTTCACTATGGATGTGTCTGTGTGCGCACGACTCACCTTGTGCTTGCTTTCGATGTAGCAAATGCTTCAAACGTAACAATACACATGTCAGCAGGGGGTGTGAGATAAGACATGCAAATATAATAAATTCCCGTGTTGACTGTGGAAGGCGTACGTATGCGCGTTTAAGGTAAATCTCATGTGACTGACGCCAGTTCCAGTCCAATGGTATGACATTGTCTGCCTTGTAATAGCAGACTGTATCTCCGCAGAATAACTGACTACAAGCTCTTATGTGGAAGTAACACCGCATTTGAACAGAAGTCCAGAACATGTCAAGAAGTTGAAAAGGTTGACTGTGCGTCCTCGGCTGACAACTACCACGTTAACGACCATTTGATCGTACCAAGTGAGTTCAAAGGTAAATTTGAATGTGATGTGAAAGGTGATGTAGAATGTGTCGTGCGTTGCCTCACACATCGGAAGTTAAGGATATCCTATGCGCGTACATGCATGCATACGTGAGGGTGTACACACATCAGCCACATGCATGCATACAAGCGCGCGCGCGCACACACACACACACACACACACACACACACACACACACACACACACACACACACACACACACACACACACACACACACACACACACACACACACACACACACACACACACACACACACACACACACACACACACACACACACACACACACACACACACACACACACACACACACACACACACACACACACACACACACACACACACACACACACACACACACACACACACACACACACACACACACACACACACACACACACACAATATATATATACATATATATATATATATTATATATATATATATATATATATATATATATGTAGGCAAAATACGCACATACAAATAATACATATATGTATATATGCATGAAGCATGGTGAACACATGTATACACACGCGCGTGCATACCTAAGTACATAAATGCATGCATGCATACTTAAATAAATTCATACATACGTACATTCATACGTGTATGCAAACAAACCTACGTGCGTACGCACAAACGTACACATATTCATGCATGCATGCGTATACTTATATAGACATGCATACATCATCCATGCATTCACAATGCATGTACTTATACCTGCAGATACTTGGGTAATTTATAAGTGAAAGCCCTAGTATGTGCACTGGCAAATGCACATTTTGTTAGGCTCGTATACGTTTGCTCTTTTGTTTTACTTAAATCTCTGTAATTTTCGGCAAGTCATAGGTTAGTGGCCAATAATCATTCATCTTATTCTTAGCTAACGTTTCAATCGAATCGATTCCCATTTTCAAAGCAATGTATGTCAGTCAGACACATGATGCATACGGTAATGACACAAAATGTGATGCATGTGCCACAAGATACATTTAAAGATGCAGCGACAGGTCACAAGTTATGCATAAAACTTTACAGTTCAAAGTGTGGAAACACTTGCACACAATTTATGACCCTATTTGCTGTCCTTAAACTCTAGTTTCTAATCATTCTATCATCGGGTGACCAAATAGGACCAGAGTAATGTTTGTCCTAGGTTGTATGCTTGAGTTTCACATCGACAACAGGATCTTCCCTGCGATGACGATGACCTCTAGGACTTGTGGGTGTAGCTAATATGCTTCCCGGAATTGTTTTTTCACAGAAACTACCAAAGAAGTCGAATACAAGTTCAATCCATCCAAAACAGAAAATTTGAACGACTACACAGATTATTATGACTATTATTTCGACTACCCGGAGTACAAGGAAACTAGTGGTAAGTTGTGCAATGAATTAGCGAGGAACATTATTCATACAGATAAGACAGTAGTATTAGCCTTACTCCTCGGAGAAAACCAGAAGAATGGAGATATAGTTGGGTTTATGTTTCGGTAACATACTTGTATCGCAACAGTAGCAAAAGCCAATTTTTTCAATATTTTTCCTAATAAAATTCACTTCTACCATTCTTTTGATAAAGGCATGTTGCTGCAAAATCAATCCAACTACATTTGCATTCTCCTGGTTTTCTCCGAGGAATAATACTAATACGACTGTCCTATCTATGTGAATCTAGTGGTAACTGAAAATTACGGCCAGCCTGAACTTTCGTTATGTTTGTCTGTAGGGAACACCCGTTTCAATCAACTAAGGATAGCATTATTTTCACTTCTGGTGCCTATGCGTACGGGCTGGGACAGACACCTGTACTGATAAGACGTGATATCTGTGAGCTGCACCGTGGCATTGTCCGTGTGTTGTGCTGTGACTATGCCCACGCATTGTACCTTGATCATGTTCGTATGTTCTACCGTGCCCATGTCCCCGCATTGCACCTTAACCATGTCCGTGTGTTGTGCCGTGCCGTTGTCCGTGCATGGTACCTTGACAATGTCCGTGTCCTGTCCCGTGACCACGTCCATGCATTGTGCCGTGACCATGCCCGTGCGTTGTTCCGTGACCATGCCCGTGTGTTCACTTGCAGAAACTAGCACTGCGAGAAGTCGGCCGTCAAGAGGGTCGAAATCCAAAGCACCGCAGTTCTGATGCCTTGTTGCGTTGTAGCAGGTATAGTAACGCCACACCACGACCGACATGATAACGCATCTGCCATTGTATCCGTTAGAATGCTCTCCGTAACACGTGCTTCGAACTAGTACGTTTCGTTGATCAGACATGACAGCTTTTGGTCAACTTTTTGGATTAAATGTAATTACGCTTTCTATCAGTCTTCACGGCGATAACCAGCCCACGCATTCATAGATTGGTTATTTTGGGTAGCCTCCAGCGGTGGTGGCCTCCCTTTAACACGAGCCCGGATGGTCTGTTGATGCCTTCGCTTGTGCGAGGGTCAATTTGATCCTCCCTGAGATCTCAGAAACTATGGGAGCTAGAGGCACCGAATTGACAGGGTGTGTTGGCCTGTACGTGAACTCACTTGCGTCAAATCTTGAGCTTCTTGAGTCAAGAATTTAGGATTAAAATAGGTCAAACAAGGTCAAACTCTCGGTTGGTGTCCGAAGTTTAAAAAGCCCAGAACCTAGACACCTATTTTAAGCAAAATTCGCCTGCTTATTTAAGGTCAGTGACCTTGTTTGACCTTTCGAAGGTCATGAAGACCAAAATAACACAATACTGCTTTGAGTTTTGCGTATGAATAAGCGACAAAGATAACGCGAGGCAGTACGTTCTTAAAAAACAAAATGTTGACAGGGTGTGTTGGCCTGTACGTGAACTCACTTGCGTCAAATCTTGAGCTTCTTGCGTCAAGAATTTAGGATTAAAATAGGTCAAACAAGGTCAAACTCTCGGTTGGTGTCCGAAGTTTAAAAAGCCCAGAACCTAGACACCTATTTTAAGCAAAATTCGCCTGCTTATTTAAGGTCAGTGACCTTGTTTGACCTTTCGAAGGTCATGAAGACCAAAATAACACAATACTGCTTTGAGTTTTGCGTATGAATAAGCGACAAAGATAACGCGAGGCAGTACGTTCTTAAAAAACAAAATGTTGATCTGGATCATTTTAGGTCAGTAACCTGTTCTGGCTTAAATAAAGTCAATGGAAGACGTTAAATGTAGTTTATGTTATCAATAAATTCGAAATTATCAGTCTGCCCTGCATCGTTCGGGGGACCATTTCGGAAAAACCTCGAGGGAGTTGAATTGACTCCTCACCCTAGCGCCTCCTAATGGGCGCAGTGAGCGATTAAGGCTTTGCTAAGGTTGCTATGGTTCGTCAGGCCGCTAGATGGCAGCAGGATCGGGAAAAATGTCATGCCGAGGGTCTGCGATTAGCCGCACGTCCGCTGCCTGGCCTGTCTCCAAAAATTATATCTATCGCGCCGGACCCCATGGGAACATCGGTGCGCCGAACCTCGCGCTCGTGTGCCTTGAACTCAAACCATTTCAAATTGCGCCGAATTATCAAATTAGTTTGGCGTTTCAAAATACGCTCGGAGGATATTTGCCTGATATTACATTTGCAACATCAAAAATCTTTGAAAAATTGGCTCCATGCGCTGAAATTTATGGCGACCGTGCGCCGAACTCTGAGGGCTCGGATTTACGTCTCATATGCGCTGAAATTGTTGCCACGATGTCGCTGCTACGTCGGGCATGCTCAGCGTAATGCTCATCTGTTGCAGTCTGATTGCCTACTAATTTCATGCGTAATGAAAGTTTTAGCATTTATACTTTTAAAACAGAAACGGGTTTTGCACGAATTCGTCTTGTAACGTTGACCTTGGAAAGCTGCGGCTTATAGGATACATACACCACGACAGCGTCATGTGTGAGTTGTAAAACGACGAGCATCATCACCTCTAGTTGTTTTAAATAGCCAGCCCTACATGCTCTCAACCTGGAATGACAATCATATAAAACACAGCGTGTAGTAATGCCATATGAGTGCATAACATACATACATACATACATATACATACGTGTCCCTTGAGCCGAGTTTAACGCCGATTTCAATATTTTAACTAATTCGGCCTAGTCCTCGAATGCCCTCTAGATTGACAGGTGCAATAGTCGCCATAATTACACCACCACTGGTGGCGCTTTGTAAATCACGGATCACTTTAATATCCCGAGTCAGAGAAGAAGAAAAAATGCATCGCACCAGGACGGCGCAGGGTGGCATTTTCCCATGCGGTTTTCATGTGGGCAGGCACCTCATGGTAACCGCCATTTTCAGGTGCCCGTCTGGGCTTCGTCGTGGAGGACTTCATCACCAGCCAGCCTTGACTTCAGCATTCATCTCAGCCGCCCATCTGGCACCAGTGTGATGTCGACAGTGCCGCAAAGTCCCGTGCAATCCCTTCCGTCCGTTACCATTGCTTTAAGCATCATGCGTATTAGACGAGATTCGTCCGCTCTCCGGGAAACGCTGGTGGACTGTGCGCTCGGCTCGGCGCCGTTGCGCCACTCGCTTCTGCCGCGTCACACGTGAACCCTCTACTCAGTGGTGGTGCACGTGACCCTCTGAGTCGACCCAGGTCACGGCGGCTCCGACGGGGCAGCTGAGGCCGAAGGCGCCGCGCCGTCCAGAGCCCAGAGCACCGCCGCTGGGGCACCGAGGCGTCTCACGGGGCGCCGCCGCTGGGCCGCTGAGGCGTCACACAGGGCGCCGAGGCGTCACACGTGGCGCCGCCGCTGGGGCGCTGAGGCGTCACACAGGGCGCCGAGGCGTCACACGTGGCGCCGCCGCTGGGGCGCTGAGGCGTCACACAGGGCGCCGAGGCGTCACACGGGGCGCCGCCGCTGGGGCTTCGAGGCGTCACACAGGGCGCCGAGGCGTCTCACGGGGCGCCGCCGCTGGGCCGCTGAGACGTCACACGGGGCACCGAGGCGTCACACGGGGCGCCGCCGCTGGGGCTTCGAGGCGTCACAAAGGGCGCCGAAGCGTCACACGGGGCGCCGCCGCTGGGGCTTCGAGGCATCACACACGGCGCCGCCGCTGGGGCGCCGAGACGTCACACAGGCGACGCCGCTGGGGCGCCGAGGTGTCACACAGGGCAGAGTGTCAGCGTGGCGCGTTCCGACACACGCACGGCGCCGTAGCTCTCTGAGATAGAAGCGGGGCGCGCGTCTGTGCATCGCCATGGAATTTTGAATGTAGTGTGTCGTGGTATTTATAAAAGCGGTCCTGACGGCGTCATGTTTAGTGGGTGCAGAAACCTTCGTTAATAGGACTTAATCATGTCGACTTACTTGGACTCTAGTGTAATTTATTAAAGGAAATACAGTGGCCGAATGGTCTGCACGGAGGTACAAAGCCAAAATCTTGTCTGCTGTATTTGTTTTATTGTCTCAGTACACTTGACAAATCGTCGGCACCTACGGTGGTACTGAGCATCGGAGCCCACATTTCCTGAGTGTCACTTGTCGGGCCGCAAAATTATCCCTTGCGAACGACGTCTATGCCGCAACGTGAGAGTGATCGATGCTCGAACATCAGCACTTAATGTACCGTGAGTGGAAGGCTTGTGAATAATTAATTGCGTCTCTACTCATTGCATGGCAAAGGAAACCATTCGGATAAACAACGTAAGACACATGTACTAAACAGAATAAGGCTGATGCCCACACCCCATTATGCTCCATTTTCTCGAAAGACTCGATACAGTGGCATGATACATCCCACATATGCTCAACAAAATCATCGAGCTTGTTGCAGGCAAGCTTGACCCTACGCACTGACTAAATGCCCAACACAGCGTTCCTGGACACTGCCTCGGGCGGGGCGTCAGACGTCGGCCCACTGGCTTGTCTTCCTACACTGAGAGTGCCGACCGCCTGGCCTGCACCAGCGTTTTGGATGGTGGCCGGGCGGGTAACGCGTCCATCCCTTCTGCCAGCGTGCAGCAGCGCCCCAGCAGCTTTAAACGGCCCCGTCAGCTGGCTGGCCGGCACGACTCACTGCTCGCCGTGGTTCCTGCCTGCCGACGGTGAGTTGAACTCGGAGTTGTAGCTTCGACCGGGAGAGGGTGCCACCAGGGAGTATTCTGATGCCTCTGAACCGCGCCTTGAGCCTGACGCACGGCGCGGCCTCAGCAGGTTCGCAGCGCTGTCGACAGGTTGGTGCCCAGTGAACAACACTGGCGCCGCGCAGCGACCAGATCGCACAAGCACGGCCGGCCTCGGGGTATCGCCATCATTTTTGGTAATCCCTTCTTCCACTTCCGACACCGAAATGTCGGTTGTCTAAACACTGCCCCGCGGCGCTCCACTGCTGGTAAGGGGACATATTTTTTCGGACCTTGGACGCGCTGTCCCAGCCTACAGTGTCATCGAAAGTGGTATGGAAAGACCTGTGCGCTATCCAGCTACAATATTTGTGACTCACGCTGGACGCACGACCACAGGGGTTTAATGCTCCACATCGAATACGTTCCACGCGAGTTTCATGCGGCGTGGATCATGCACGCTTTCCACAACGGTCGTCGGTTGGCCGCGGCATGATGCACATAACCGCACACTCGATGCCATATTTCGAGCAAATTTCCGTAAACTTTTGGTTGCTGCCCCATCATTGAGCTGGGGTATGCGCGTGCAGTTCTGCGTTCCACCATCCAAATCAAACATCAAAGGCACGCCATGCATGCAATTTTAATGCACACTGACATGGAAGATCGCTCAGGTGGCTGATAACACCGTCCTTAAAAGCTGCCCAACTCACTAACTGCAGCGTCTATGACTGTCCTCTAGTGCGCATGTTAGTATCACCGTCATGATTTACAGGGGCTTAAAACAACACGTACCCGTCCACGTCGCTGTGCGCCCACTCCGGCTCTCCTGAGCTCAGTACACTGCGTTCTAAGCTTGTTAGACGCTGTTTCATTCTCTGCTCTGAGGACACATATTCCCCCAGCAACCTTGCAAACCTTGTCTGAAGCTTTTCCAGTGCGTGTTCTGTAATTCATGAAAACCAAGGCAATCAGAACACTCAATGCAAAGTGTGTTGTTGGCTTGACATCACAAACAGCCCAGAGTTTATCGATTTTTCTGCGCAAACGCACCGGCTCAGAAGAGCACACGTTACAGAAACTACCAGGGGCGTGATTTCGCAAAATAAGTCAGGGAAAGGGGCTGGAGACCCCTCCCAACTTAACAGGAAACTGCACATCTGGGAATTACGAAGAACCGTAGCTGCTTACTTTATTTTGATCGCCCACGTCATTACTATGGCGTATCGCTGAAAGCGTGGGTCTGCGATGATGCCAAGTAAGCAACAGCACAGGGTCAGCACAGCGACGTCGTTGAAAAACCGGCGCCAGTGCAGAGAGGCAGCCCGACCCTTACCAAGCTGGCGGACCTGGGCGCCGAGGTCACTGGCCTGCCCTTGGGTGGCGCTCGCCGGCCTTTCCTCCTCCAGCAGGCCGTCCTTCATCAGCAGCTGGCGGCCGCGCTCAAGCAGGCTGCGGCAGGCCTCCGGGTAGTCAGTGAGCGTGCTCCAGAGGTCATCCTTGGAGAGGCAGAACAGGTCCGAGTAGCCGACGCTGCGCACGTTGGCTGTGCGCCTGTTACCGGTCTTGTTGCCGGGAATGTTCATGATGCTGACCTCACCGAACACGCTGCCGGCGTGCAGGGTGGCGAACACGGTGGCGCCGTCGTCAGACACGACCACCACCCGGCCGCGCTTTATGATGTACATCTCCTTGCCGACGTCGCCTTTGCGGCAGATGTAGTCACCGGGGCTGAAGACCTGCAGCTTCAGCTTGAGCACCAGTTCGACCAGCAGGCCGGGCTCGCAGTCCTGGAACAGGCGCACTTGCTTCAGTGCTTCCAGATGCACGTGGATAGCGATTTCGGCCTTCAGCTTGTCCGGCAGCGTCGACAGGATCCCCTCTTCGTTCAGCGACTGCTTGTTGGACCACAGATAGTCGAACCACTCGATCACGCGTCTCTCCAGATCCTTGCTGACCTTGCGAAACTCCATGTACTGCTTGATGCTATCCATGCGCTTCTGGAACTCTGTGCGCGACAGATTCATGTTGGTGATCATGGAGCCGACGTTGCCGACCACGGTGGCGAAGATAAGTACACCGGCTAGGAAGTCGAGCGTCACGAATATGTACTCCGTGTCCTCCACCGGCTGCGGCGTTTCGCCGATGGTGGTCAGCGTCAGCGTGGACCAGTAGAAACTGTAGATGTACTGGTGCGACAGGGTGCCGTTCATGTTCGGTGTCTTGTTGCGGTACACCCACTGGTCCGTGCCGAAGCCGATGGCGAAGCTCAGCGCGAAGTACAGGCAAGCGTTCCAGTGAATCAAGATCAGGATGTACAGCACCACCTTGCTGATGCGGAAGGCGTTGGGGAAATTGGTCCGGGTCTCGGTGCGTTCGAAGAATTCGGTCATGCGGGGATAGCGTAGGATGCGGTTGATTCGGACTAAAAACGGGCATGGCATGTGGTAGTAGCATTCGGTGCCCAAGTAGAGGTACAAGAAGTCCGTTGGTAGAATTGACAGCACATCCAGCACGAAGACGGCGGACTTCATGTAATGAATGCGCAGCTTCTCCGGGTCACGTACCATAAGTCCCTGTTCCAAATAACCTGCAATCAGATGCATCAACCTCATACAGCGCAACGGCATTCTCAAATCAGTATGGAGGCAAGACATCCACCAACACTGCTGAGCCGCTAAAATTACGGCAACTGAACAAAAATTCGAAAGCCGAAAAGTGAAAGGACAAAAGGGCAAATGTCAGAAATTTAAATGTCAAGAAGTCAAGGTGAATAAGTCAAGTGACGATTTTTCGCACCAAAAAAATTATTGTCAAGTCAGGATAGAAAGATTACGCAATAGGTCCAGTGAACAAACAGTCAAAAGGGATAAAGGTCAGAGAAATTAAGGCAAAAGGCAAAAGGCAAAAGGAAAAAAGAGGTCAAAAGAATACGAGTCCATATGATGTAAAGATACAGAGGAGCAAAAGGTTGGATCAACAAAACATCAAGATGATTTACAATGAAGCACGCTCCGGGGTGGTGATTTACGAGCCCGCGCGGGACACCCTCCGGACCAAATGCGCGACACTCGGCGTTCACCGTTCGGCCACGAGGCCTGTTTGCCCCAAAAAGGCGTATTTGCCGCCCACATTTTGGAAGGCCCCTTTTACGCCATGAAAATCGGATCGAGGAGGCCCCGTGACTGAAATAGGAGGTCTTTAATTCGGTTCAGGAGACTTCCTTCTACATCAAGAGCCGACTTTTCTGCATCCGGAAAGTGACGATTTGAAGCCACTAGATAAGTTTAGTCACGCTTTGATTTTCAGAAGGACTCTTTATGAATCAGAAGGCCCCTGTTCTGTGTAATGAAACAACTTTTATAAATTATAAGGTCCCTTTGTGTATCGAGTTCTGTTCAGAAGGCCCCATTCCGCGTGAGGAGGTTCTGTGGTAGAATAAAGAAGCTCTTTGCTGAAATGGGGGCCATAACTCTTACTGAAGCACGTGATCACTCCACATTCGGTAAGGCAGCTAGCTGTGACACACCGTAAGCGTAAGTCCTGCAAAAGCTCGCCTTCCAGCCAGGATAGTTGTATTTGTTTGATAGTCTGATCTGTATTTGCATGCGACTTATGTTTCTTGTTAATGTTTGCATTTGAATTTTATAGTTTTGACTTTTTTGCATTTGACTTTCATGCTTTTGACTTTTTGCTCTTTGGCTCGTATTTTTGTCACTTGTATTATGTTTGACTTTTCCTGTTTACTTTTTACATACTAGTTTTGTCATTTTTGCTTTTTGCCACCTGTTTTGTTTTTACTTCACTTGTTACGGTGCTGACTTTTTGCAGATGAATTTTATCCCATTTGACGTCTTCCCATTTGACTTTTTGTCCTTTGTCTTTTGTCTCTTGACGTTTCCTGGAACCCCGAATAAAATGTCGCAAAGAAAAAGATTACCGATGTCCACAGTTTACTAGCCACCACGCCGACACGCTTTAGCGTACTTGCAAACTATGCCAGACGACATAGCTTGCGTCAGCGGCCAAGTGTAGGCAGTCCCTAACCCATAGTCCTCCGCTCCCCCAACATACACTGGAAACGTTACCGCTTGTTTGAAGCCCTTAACACTACGCCCTATTTAGTGTGGTCACGCAAGTACTTTCGTGCGCCTTGATCATCATGTCCAGCACGTAGATGACGTCGCAGGCGTAGTCCAGGGTGAACCAGGCTGTTGACGCCGTGTTCTGCAGCTCCCAGAACACCGTCCGGCCGATGATGCACACCAGGTTGTACAGGACGGCCAGCGTCATCAGCAGCAGCCACTGGCGACCGGGCGGCCACCGTCAGTGCCATGGTCCGATCGCCGCCACAGTCGTGGACCATACATCACCAGCTGACTCCAGTCAAGCCACGGCCACGGTGGACGGCTGAGGCGCTTAAGCACATGTCCTTACGGTCGCCACTCAATATATAAAAGAGGTGAGGTGAAAAGCGACCATTCTGGCTTCACAGCACGAGAACGCATTAGTCATCATTCGTTTTGTCAAAATGTTGTAAGTTGTCAACCGACTACAATGATCCCTTTTCATATAAATTGCTGTGCGCGACCGTGCCAGTGATTTCGAAAAAGACGACGAAAGGCAAGAACCGGGTAAACGTTGATGACATATTCAGCCTGCAAGCGCTGCAATGCACAGCAGCCTGCAATGTGACTTTTGATCAGTAGACTCCGCAGCGAGAAATCTAACAAAACTCAGACGCGCATGTCTTGCAGTTTTTTAAAGATAAGGTCAACCAAAACAGTTTCATAATTTTGTGTTCCCTGAAAAAAGGATATTTGGATTTTACCAACAGCGGTTTCTCAACCCCAGCAAATCTTGGACCAACGATATATTGTTACAATGGCGCCTAATCTTCCGCCTCTCATACACGGCCCAACCTACTGTTCTAAGGCACTGCCACTCCAGGGTACCTACCCTCCATAGCCCCCATTCCAAGATAAAAACCTCCAGACCTGTGCGACGGAAAAGCAACGTTCCTAGCAAAAAACGCGGAATTGAAATGTATCCAGGGAACATTTCGCGACTTTTTGCTTTTGCGGATGACAATTTTTGGGACTCCCAATCCTTTCGGCCTACTTTTGGATGGCTGTGTTAACGAGAACCTACATTTTATCACCCCGAGGCGTACCTTGCCTTCCGTGGCTACAGCCACCCTCGCATAGCCAGAGCGGGCCGATCGCCCTTCGTTCGGTCGCTCGAGCACCGGACGTTTGTTCCCTGTGTGGTGGATGTGAGAGTTCACATCACGGAGACCGCGCCGACGTCACACGCCGCTAACGGTCACCGAGGTCGGCGGGCTCGCTGACGTCACACGCCGCTAACGGTCACGGAGGTCGGCGGGCCCGCCGACGTCACAAGTCGTTGGCGGTCACCGAGGTCGGCGGGCCCGCGCGCCGGCGGCCGAATCGTGACGTCACTCGGCGCGGTAATATGCTTTGTCAGCAACTGTTCGTCGAACGGGACTTTGGTACTGACTCCTGGGTAGGTGGGGTCAGGGTACTTGCTACAAGCTATGCTCAGCGATACCACTTTTTCGAAAGTCACCCTCTTAAAACATGCAGTGAATTTGAATCTCTGCATTACCCAATATTGAAATTGTCCAGACTTGTTGACGGTGAAATAGCCAGGACATGTCCCGCAGCAGTAGGTCGGGTTCTCTGCACCCTTCTCGTTGCCATCATGGTCCTTGGCGTCGGCGGCAGAGGTATATTTCTCGAGGAACGAGTCTGACGGGCCCAGCTCCTTCCCGACAGGCCGTCTCTTCGCCAAAGACTGGATCACCTGCGTCGGCCAGAAGCGAGACGGCTGTTGCAGCACGTCAGACAGGCAGGCTTGTTACACTCGTGATGCGCCCACTCATACTCGTCTACGGCAATACGACACGGTCATCCTGTCTCGGATGAAACAGCATGCATGAGAAAAAAATCTATTGCTTCTACTTATAAATAATCGTGCAGACCGAATTCCAAGAGCTTCGTTCAGCAGACCTAATTCCTAATTTCTAAATTGCAGTTGTTTTCTATACATGTGTGCCTGCATGTTTCCAACGCTAGCATGTGACACGACTTCATACGCTTCAAGGTGGAATGCATAATCTAGCTGAAAAGAAAGCTTGTCTACACTTCGCGAGCACATATTTTGCAGTCTCCAGCTGTTGTAGAGCCGAGGTGCTGCGAGCCCACAAAGCGCGGATAAAGATAGCTCAAAGCGCGGGCAAAGAAAACTCAAAGCCTGGGTAAAGAAAATTCGCTTGGTACCTCTAGTCTGCAGCAGCTGACTACCGCAGAATACTCAACGGATCCGCAACAGGTGTGAACGAATATTACGCCTCATTGGCTTCTCTGTTGCTATGCCAGAGGAACGGCACAACCAGACTATGGTTGCCAAATATGGCTGCTCCGAAGCCATCGTTTGCCGTAGCGCGGTTCTGCTAAGCCAACTGACTAGCGAATATATGAATATTGGACGCTTGGGGAAATATATCGATGGATCGTTCTCACCAAAACACCCCCTCACGTGCTGGCTTCACGACTCTCTGCACTGACACTTACTTGTATGATGTGACTCGACTTAATCAATTTTCTGGCGGCCATCTCCAGATGTTCTGCTGTGCCGAGATAACACCGCATAAAACAATGTGCTGCAGACCGTGACAGGTCTTGGCGGGTCTTGCCACTCTTGTTGCGGGATTGTTGAGCGTAATCAGACCTGAAATGTGCTCTCAGGTAAACAATACCGCCTAAGATATCACACAAGACTGGTCGCGGAGATTAGGATGCATGGAGGAGTTCATACAATTGTGTGCAAACCTGGTTTTTCTAACAGCATCCTGAGTCCTCCGCATGCCCGAACGCTCCACGGGGCATGGGAACCGCCCAGACTGCAAGCCTGTATTCTTTCATTTTCTCAGCGACGGCTCAGACTTCTGGCACGGCGATTCACAGAACAGTAGAATCCCTTCAGGCTAGGCTTTGGGTTTGCTGGACGGTGCTATGAAATACAGCCGGATTCCTGAGCTAAAAATGTCATTCAAAAATGGCTGTAACATAAAGATGATGCCTGCTAGGGATACATATTGAGCACACCAACTTGTTGACACTGAGCATTTTTCTAGACACGCAAGTGCCTAATTGTATCTAGAATAGCAAAGGATACATATTGAACACACCAGCTTGCTGAGACTGGACATCTTGCTAGATGCATAAGTGTCTTATGGTATCTAAAATCACCACGCGGATATACGCATCTATTTCAGGAGGTATGTGCATCTAGAAGCATATATGATTAGTGTAGGTGTAGGAGTATGTGCTGTCAGAGACGCAGTTTGATACGAAGGTGAAGCTCCTCTCCCTGATGTGTCCAGTTGTGACCGCCCCCTCTCACAGTGCGACTGTGTCCAGCTGTGCCCGCCCATTCTTACAGTGCGACTGTGTTCAGCGTGGCACTAATGTACATGCACGCTCAACCAAACGGGATCTGAAATGGACGTCACTTCTTGTACCGTATCTTGGGAATCACGGAAGGCACGCATAAGTTTGACGTATGTTTGCAAGAACACTCTTTGGTAACATCTAATTTCGTAACATCGTACAAATAACCACCTTTTGCGTTTCCTTTGTGGCCACGCAAGAAACGCGCAATGCACATACTGCTTAGGGTCTGACACCCATATCAAGAATGATTGTTAGATAACCTACCATCACCATATCATCGATCGAATTGCCAATTACAGCTCGACCCGCAAAATCAGCTTACAGTTGCTTAAGACTGGAAAGATATAGGCTTTGATGGCCACTTCATTAGCTTCTAGCAGATACGAGTGTCGGCAGCATAACGCTCCCACCCTTAGCTCGCGGCCGTGCTCCATAGCAATGACGACGCCAGAAGATGACTCGGCGGGCACTCTGAGCAACTGAACCCACACTTCACCGCGCAGAACTCAACCTTAAGCAGCTGGAGACACTTTCAACATATTGAGAAACCACAGAGGCGTTCCTGGTAAGTCTCGTTTTCATGCCTTGATTATCTCATTCCGTGGAACAATGAATGTAATTTATGGTGCTAGACAAGGCTCCAAACATGTGCGTTCTACTGGACACTTTCTATGTAATGAAAATATACGTTTACGGCATATGAAATTGTGTTTTGGCACATACCGCGTCCTACCATTCACTGCCCATTCTTACCTCTTGGGAACAGTTCGTGCGTCGAGGAGCTATTCGGCAGTCGTAGCTGACGTGCTTATTTGGTTCGTTTTTAGCAACTGGGGCGTCGACAAACATTGCTAAAATCATGACCGAAAACTGCAAGTGATTCAAATCTCCTGCTCAGTGTTCCTGATCATTGCGAACATTTCGCGAAAGCACATTTGCACCCATTACCTTCAACTACATTGCTTAATTGAAACAGTACTGAGTTATGCGATCAGCCAAAGCAAACAAGCCATCCACGCAGATGTAGTGCGATAATGCAGCCACTCCAAACCAACATTTTTTCTTTGATTTATCATCATAACTTGGCTTATATTTTACTTTGTTTCTGCATGCCTTCTTTGTATAATAACATTATCAATGTTATGATGGTAACAGTAATGATGGCAGGAGGCATTATAATATTGTGTGGTCACAGGAAATTTTCTTATAGCAACTTGCTTTTTTGGTCGTTTTTTATACTCTTGCCCTAATTCTTCTATCACCTCACATATTGTTGGATGTGAGCCCAAATCATGTGAAGTCCAACAAATGTGACTTGTTCCGGAAAAGGACTCAGGCAAGGGCCTGTTTGCTACGTATTCAAAAATGAATTGGATTAGCACAATTCTCCGCCATAGAACGGTGCTCCAGAGGAGTCATTCACACGCTATCTGCCATTTTGGAAAAGGATCCTTTTAGTGGGGTGTTTTCTCCTCCGAACAATACCGCCCACGGTTACCCGATCTTTTCTTTCAGTCAGTGTCATCATTTACAGACACAAAGTACCACCGAAATGTTTTTATCGCCAAGCTCAGTAATCACATTTCGAACGTATCTCTTGTAGGCCCAATCGCAGAGATGTGCTGTGTGGTGCGTGGCCACCAACGGTGCTAGGACAGCCATGGGCTTATGGGAAGCATTTCTTGAATAGTTCCCGTTTCATGGACGCGTTTTTCTTTTCGATGGGCGTTTGGAGCAGGGGCAACCGCAATGTAACATCATGGGCTGTAAGTGCTGTGTAGTGCGTGCAAAATGCTTGCCTGAACTTCACGATTTTTCACTCTCTATCAACAAATAGACTGCGACAAGGCAGTCAGACGATCAGTTGGCAATCAGTCATGTAGGTGGCAGCCGCTCCGTCCACCGGCACCAGGCGGGCCAGCTGGCGGTGGGCGCCGTCCACCAGCACCAGGCGGGCCAGCTGGCGGTGGGCGCCGTCCACCGGCACCAGGCGGGCCAGCCAGCGGTGGGCGCCGTCCACCGGCACCGGGCGGGCCAGCCAGCGGTGGGCGCCGTCCACCGGCACCGGGCGGACCAGCCAGCGGTGGGCGCCGTCCACCGGCACCGGGCGGGCCAGCCAGCGGTGGGCGCCGTCCACCGGCACCGGGCGGGCCAGCCAGCGGTGGGCGCCGTTCACCGGCACCAGGCGGGCCAGCTGGCGGTGGGCGCCAACGGCGGCCTGTAGCGTATTTTGGGAGTGCTATACCCGGGAGAAGAATTTTCATTTTGTGACTGTTCCCTTTGCAGATAAACCCTGGTACAGGGATTTTATTAAATTAGGGGGCAGTATGACCAATAGATTCGATTTTGAAATCTGGTCAGCCTGGCCTCAGCCACATTTTAGTACGTTAACTGTGAGGTGGATGCCTCCAAATGACCCAAAATGTCTCCCCATTCGTGAAATGTTGCCACCCCAGTGCAACTGACTAACAGCCATGAAATATAAAATATCCCTAAAGTCTTGATTTCTGCATTTAACGTTCCCAAGCACGCCTACGTCAGGGTGGCACTTTCACAAGGCCACTTCGGCAGCCTTTCAGACGTCATTCAAACACTCCATGACGCAACCAAGTGATGACGAATTGACGGGTATATTTGTTGAATAGTGAAATTGTGCTGTCTAGAACAGCGAATGCACTCAGCATACCAATAGTTACAAGTGAACTCACGGCATTCTTTTTGGTGCTTGCCTCCTTTAAAATGAGAAAACCAAAGACCATTAGCGACAGCACCTGAGCGAGCGAGGATGTCAACAGGTCAACACAAAGGGTACTAAGGTCACTGTATAGGGTCCTCCGTGCAAACTGCAAGAACCCAAGGCCAATGGACATGAATTGCTGCACTTGATAGATAGAGAGCGCCTCGGCAGATGAACGTATAGGGCCCCCGACAGCAGCGTAGGGTCTTCCTAGTAAATGTGAAGTCCCCAAGATCATTTTGGCGGCCGGCGGGCCCTTGTGCGATCAAGAGCGCCCGGTCAGGTTGTAGAAAGGTGCCGACAACAGTGTGGGGTCCTCTGAAAATGATATCAAAGGAAAAGAGCCCTTGACCAATGACGCGCGTCTCTGGGCATCGAGCTCCTCGGTACGCTAGCTATGGGCTCCAGCAACAGCGCGGGGTCCTCCGAATAAGTGGATGGAACGCAAGACCGATGTAAATGACCTCTGAACAACCGAGGATTTTTCGTCTGGTTAGTATATGTGGCACTCGCAAATAGCGCATATAGCCTTTCAGGCGAATGGGAAGAATTCGTGGAAGGCCCTGCATCGATCAGGAGTGCCCCAGCCGATCAGCATATAGGGCCCTGACAGCAGCGCACAGGCCCCCGAGTAAAGGGAAAAAATCATGGGCAACATGGAAGGATTTTTAGAGAGCGGATTGATCACCCAGGTGGATATATACGGTCCCCGGCAACAGCGTAGGCCCTCTGGGCAGCATAAGATGCCTGAAAATATTTCCAATCACCATCTCTTTAATCAGCGAAATATCTTTTTTGTCTGCTCATGGGCCCTTCCCTTTCGCTTCCGACCGTTTTTGGTCGTCTGGAAGCCCAATGACGTAATTTAGCTGCGTTTTGTGTGAAAAAGCTGCGTGTGTTTGGCCTCTTATGGGCCCACTGAGCCTACGGAGCTCAAGGGAAAGTGCGTGTGTATGGTGGAGGGCGAGACCATGTGACCCCTTCCGGACCCACTACGTCAGTGAGAGGTCATTGGAAATGAAGACCTGGTGATTATAAGTCGTGATGACTGATAAAAGGTGATACTAAAGAGTGATGGTGATAACGATAAAATGAAGATCTGGGAATTATAAAGGGTGACGTCAAGCTCATCAATGGTGATAATAATTTTTGGCAAATATTAGATAACTATCGCGCGAGATAAGTGGAAAGTTGAATATCGGAGTGATTTCACCACCTCTGTCTTTGAGCACCTGAGCAACCCACTGCCCAATTTCTTTGCGTATTATCAGACAGATGTCCGGTGCAGCTTGTTACATCCACAACATTCATCTTACCTGGCTCTCACTTGTTCCATATAACAATACCACCAAAGCGTGGCGCGCCCTCATGGTCCCGCGCTCCATACGCATACTCCAAAGACGAACGCCCAGGGCTGCCGCTGGGATCCGTTTGAAGTAATGCTGTTAGTTCTTGTAAAGTTCCATAAAGTGAGTTGGCGGGTAAATCCTGTTCCAATGAAATCTCGTCCCAAAATTTGTCAGAAATCTGGCTTCTCC